TATGACTATACAATCATTCTTACCATAACAATGATGTACGATAAGAAACGGGGGGAAGTCATGGGTTGACAGCAGCAGCTGCCTCAACCTCATTCCAGGCAGAGGTGGGAAGCTCAAGCTGTGCCTCCCAGAGTCCCCTGCAGCCTGGCACACCGGAGGCACACACTCGGGTCCACCAGTCAGAGGCACCGCAGGAATTTGGAAGGCAGAGGTCACCAGTGCCATCTTGGTTTTGCTTCCCTCTCACTCTGCCAGCAGCCAGGTGTGGAAACACTTGGTGTTTCAGAACTAGCATTGCCATGTCCAGAGTCCCTGGGTGGTACAAATGGTTAATGTACTCAGCTGCTAACTGAAAGGTTGGAGGTTCGAGTCCACCCAGAGGTACCTCAGAAGAAAGTCCTGGTGATGGACTTCCAAGATATCAGCCCATTGAACACCCTATGGAGCACAGCGCTACACTGACACACATGGGGTCACCATCAGTTGGGGTCGACTCAACGGCAACTGGTTTTGGTTTTTTATTTCATGGGTGTAAAAAGGCAATTGTGGTGGAGGGGTGAGGGAACTTGGGACTGATCAAGGAAAAAGATATGAGCACTATCTTATGTATATCGATACATATATGACCAACCCATAGAAGCAGCAGTCAAGAAATCAAATGATGTATTGCATTGGGCGAATCTATTGCAAAAGAGCTCTTTAAAGTTTTCAAAAGCAAAGATGTCACTTTGATGACTAAGGTGTGTCTGACTCAAGCCATGGTCTTTTGAATTGCCTTATCTGCATGTGGAAGTTGAAAACTGGAAGAGGAAGACAGAAGAACTGATGCATTTGAACTGCGGGGTTGGAGAAGAATACCGACTATACTGTGGACTGCCAGAAGAACAAACAAATCAGTCTTCGAAGGCATACAACCAGACTGCTGCTTAGACATGCGATGGCAGTACTTCGTCTTGCTTACTGTGGACACATCATCAAGAAAGACCAATTACTAGAAAAGGACATCATGGTTGGTATTATGGATTGAATCGTGTTCTCCCAAAATATGTATCAACTTAGCTAGGCCATAATTTCCCAGTATTGTATGGTTGTCCACCATCTTGTGATCTGACATGATTATCCTATGTGTTGTAAATCCTAACATCTGTGATGTTAATGAGGCAGGATTAGAGGCAGGTTAATGAGGCAGGACTCAATCTACAGGATTAGGTTGTATCTTGAGTCAATCTCTTTTGAGATGGAAAAGAGAGAATTGAGCAGAAAGGAGAGGGACCTCATACCTCCAAGCAAGAAGCACCAGGAGTGGAGCTCGTCCTTTGGACCTGGGGTCCCTGTGCTGAGAACTTCTAGACCAGGGGATCTTCCACCAGAGGCAATAGAGAAAGACTTCCCCTGGAGCTGGCATCCTGAATTTGGACTTCTAGCCAGCCTTCCCCTAGAGGTGGCACCCTGAATTTGGACTTCTAGCCTCCTAAACTGTGAGAGCATAAATTCCTCTTTGTTAAAGCCATCCACTTGTGGTATTTCTGTTATAGCAGCACTAGGTAACTAAGACAGCTGGTAAAGTAGAGGGCTAGTGAAAATAAGGGAAACCCTCATAAAATGGATTGACACAATAACCACAGCAAGAGACTCAAACATACCAATGATCATGAAGATGGCACAGGACCAGGCAACATTTCATTATTATACATAAGGTCACCAAGAGTTGGAGCCAACTCAATGGCAATAACAACATCAGCCAACCACACTCATGCTTTATACAGCTGCAATTGTGTCCAACTCTATGAATGTATCATAATTTATCATGTATCATATGCAGTGTATCAGTCAGGGATCCAGGCAGGAAATGAACCACTTGAGGTATTTTAAAAGAAACGGATTTAATATAGGACGACTCAGCTCTGCTGTTGCATCGTGAAAGCAGCCATAGACCATACGTAAATGAATGAGCATGGCTGTGTGCCAATAAAAGTTTATTTACAAAAACAGGCAGGGAAGTTAATAAAATTTTGAAACAACATATAGAACTATAAATCATTAGAAACTTATTAAGTGTCCTACAGAGGAGACTGGGAAATAAACATTGGTGACTAAATGATGAGTAGTTAGGATTTAACAAGGAAGACCAATATGGCATCCTTAACTGAAATCCCACCTGTATCAACTTACCCAACTGAAATAAAAACTCCAATATGAAGGACGTATTGTATAATGACATTTACTGCAGGGTTTCAATGTCCTTCTATCAGGAATAGTCAAGTGGGTAATAATTGTTATAGACTGAACTGTGTCCATCTAAAATATGTGTTGAAATTCTATCCCAAGTACCTGTGAATTTGACTCTGTTTAGAAATAGGGGTTTTCTTTCGTTATAGTAATGAGATCATATCAGAGTACGGTGGGTCCTAAACCTAATCACTTCTGACTTATAAAAAGAGCAGAATAGATGCAGACACACACACAGGGGAAGACAGACGCATCTGAGGACTCATCTACAGACAAAGGAACTTGAAGGATCACAGGCATTTCTTGGAGAGAGGTTCATAGAAGGAATTAACACGGCCAAGATCCTGATTTGGACTTTTAGCCTCCAGCACTGTGAGAAAATAAATTTCTGTTCTTTAAGGCCATCCACTTTTGGTATTTCTGCTACAGCAGTCCTAGGAGACTAAGACAATGGCCCATCCCTACCACGGAATATTATGCAACAACCCAAAAAGAACAGGAAGAACTGTTTGTTTAATCAGGATGTCCACAGGACACAAATTTAAAAAGCAAGTTGCTGACAAGTAGGTACAGTTTGATGCCAAGTTTATGAAATAAAAATGTGTTGCATGAAAAAAAAAAAAGCAATCTATAGCAGGGTTTACATAACATGATTCTCTTGTTTAAAATGCGTATATGTTCACACCATGCAAATGGGCAAGGCGTGCAGGTTTTACACTAAAATGTTAGGAGTAGTTGTCTCTGAGGGAGTGAGATTTAATTTTGCTTTTTCAGTTTGCTTAGCTCTATGTTCTAATTTTTCTGCAATGATCACACACCATCAATGCTATTTTGTAAAAGCCTTTGGTATACTCCTCCACTGCATTAACTCTGACTCGTGGAGACTCCATGTGTGTCAGAGTAGAACTCTGCTCCATCGGGTTTTCAATGGCTGATTTTTTGGAAGTAGGTTACCAGGTCTTTCTTCGAAGGTGCCTCTGGGTGGACTCGAACCTCCAACCTTTTGGTTAGCAGTTGAACGCGTTAACCATTTGCACCACCCAGGTACTCTGGGTATAATTCTAGGTACCTTGTATTAGTTTCCTGGGTCTGCTATAACAGCTCACCAAACAGCGTGGCTTAAAACAACAGACATTTAGGCTTTCACAGTTTTGGGGACAGAAGTCCAAAATCTAGGTGTCAGTTGTGTTGGTTCCTTCCAGTGGCTCCACGCATTCCTTGGCTTGTGGCTGCATTACTCCAATCTCTGCCTCTGTCACCACATGGCCTTCTCCCTGTGTGTTTCTATGTCTGTGTCCAAATCTGCCTCTTCTCGTAAGGACAGCAGTCATTGGGTTACAGTGGGCCCTAGTGACCTCATTTTAACTTAATTACATGTGCAAATATCCTATTTCTAAATAAGGTCACATTCACAGGTATGGAAACCCAGGTGGCTTTGTGGTTAAGAGTTCGGCTGCTAACCAAAAGGTCAGCAGTTTGAATCCACCAGGCGCTCCTTGGAAACCCTGTGGGGCAGTTCTACTCTGTCCCATAGGGTTGCTATGAATCAGAATCGACTGGATGGCAATGGGTCTTTCTTTGGTGGGTTGGTTTGCACTTCAACATATCGCAGTGGTTAAAAGTTTGGCCGCTAATCAAAAGGTCAGCAGTTCGAATCCGCTCCTTGGAAACCCTATGGGGCAGTTCTATTCTGTGCTATAGGATTGTTATGAGTCGAAATTGACTTGACAGCAGCGGATTTACTCAACCCAGAACACATCCTAAGGAGTTAAGAATTGTAAGAACCCTTAAACATTTGAAAGGTCCCTGAGTGGTACAAACGGTTTGCTCTCAGCTACTAACTGAAAGGTTGGTGGTTTGAACCCAACCAGTGGTGCCTCAGAAGTTCTGGCGATCTGCTTCTGTAAAGAATACAGCCAAGAAAACCTTATGGAGCTTAGTTCTACCTGTAACACACTGGGTTGCCATGAGTCAGAATTGACTCAACAGCAATGCTTTTTTTTTGCCTTTGCCCCTGGGGTGAAGCCACTCTGAGGTGTGTGCTCTGTGTCTCCCTGAGTTCCCCAGCAGGACTGAACTCCGGTTGCCCACAAAGTGTATCACTTGCTTTGGTGCCCCTGAGGGGCTCCTTCCCTCCCTGTCTCAATTCCCCACCCACAACAGGGCTTCCTGCAGTCAATTCCCAGATACCCTACGTGCTCTGAAATCCTCATCTTGGAGTCTCTTTTCTGGGAAATCCAAAGGAGGTTGAGCGCAGATAAACACCTTGGTGCCCTCACCCCTGGGTGGGACCACTTTGAGGTGTGTGCTCTATGCTGTCTGCCTGAACTCCCCAGTGGTTGCCCATGATCCATCTGCTCCTGGGCATCCCCTCCCCGTCTCTGTTCTCTACCTCCCACCAGGGCTTCCTGGGGTCACCTCCAAGACAACCTACCTGTCCTCAAACCCTCATCTTAAGGTCTGTTTTCTGGAAACCCCAAACCAGGACAGCCCCTCTCCCCATTCTCAGTCATCTGAGACACTCCTGCAGTGGACCCCACAAGATAGAACAAGGTCTGCAGTCTGTCCCTGGGCTATTTCCGGGTCATTTTATTGAGCAGTTGGGACATCAAGTTCTCACTACATTCTCACCCCACACTCGCTCCACCAATTGGCTTCTCAACAGCACCTGCTTGGTTTTCTTATCTCAACCGGCAATGCGGGACGGGAGCGGGGGAGGCGAAGTGGCAGCGAGCAGAGCAATGGACCAAGAACGGACCAACAGATTTGAGTGAAAACCAACTAGAAAATTTATTTTAAAAATAAGCAAGTTACCCAGGAGCCAACCTGGCAAGTAACGTTACCCTCAAGAGGATGATGCACCGCTGGCTGGCTCTGACATTCAATTCAGGCTGAGGTCATGGCAACCCCACTAGAATGTTGCTAGAAATATTTTGCCCCAGGACCCCTCCCCACCCGTACAGCTGCACCCCCAGAAGGCCCCCAAACACATGATCCCCCCGAAGGCTTGAATGGAAAATCTCATCAAGCAGGCAGAGATCACACCTGAGACGCAAGGGCAAGGAGGCCAAGCAAATGGGGCCAGGGTGGGCAAGGGAGACCCAGTCCCCCACCCATCCTGCACCCCACCCACGGGGGGCTGAGCCATAGGTGGGGAAGAGCCACCCTTCCCCTGGGGGGCTGAAAGGTGTTGTCTGCAACACAGCTTGGGTCATGGGGGATACAAAGAACAATCAAACTCAGTCTCCCACCCAACTGGGAGTCCACAAGGCATGGCACACAGAAGGGGCTCAATAAACGCTTGCCCCATGAAGAAATGAAGGAACTCATTATTGTTCATTTGTGTCCCAGCAGGTGATAAAAAACAGGACCAGACAAAGGTCATGTGCACTTTAGTGTCTCTCATGCCTGGCATGTAGTAGGTATTCTTTGGACATATGGGGAAGAAACCAACAAAAGAATCAAAAGCACCTTGTTTACTGCCAGCCCCAGCACCTAGCTCAGCTCTTGCACACAGCAGGCACTTAATAAATGCCACTGAATCAATAAGAACAACTTTGTGTCACCAAGTACATAGTAATACCCATCTGCAAAAAAGAATGAAAGTGTCTAGTTTATCTCAATATTCCCAGCATCTGGGATGGAGCCCAACACACAGTAGGTGCTCAATAAATACTTGAACGAGTTTAAAATCTGAATGTGTATCGCTAGTGCCTGATTCCTGGTTGTTATTAGTTGCTGTTCAGTCTATTCCAACTCATACTGACCCCATGTGACAGAGTAAAACTGCCCTGTAAGGTTTTCTTGGCTGTAATCTTTACAGGAGCAGATTGCCAGGTCTTTTCTCTTACGGAACTGCTGGGTGGGTTTGAATAGCAGCTGAGCGCTGAACCACTGCACCACCAGGGCTGATTCTTGGTAGGGGATCAATATATGTTTGACAACTCAATCAAGAGCTGATTGAAGGAATAATTATGCCTCATTCATTGCCATAGCACAGGAACTGGTGCTTCATAAATGTTGTGCATGTGAACAAACAGATGAATGCAGAGGTCTAGTTTCCGCCCAATTTCCCGGTGCCCAGCCCTACACTTGGCATAAAGTAGGCAATCCATTATGAGGTGTTGCTGAGTAGACGCATCCTGCGTTGAGAAGAGATGCCACAGCCTGCTGTGGGGGGTCTGATACGGCCTGAGCTGCCCATGGTGATGACTGCTGTATTTTTTGGTTATTTTGTTATTTTTGCACTGACCCCTCAGAGCTCATCACGGGCTGCGCTGTCCAGTGGGGACTGCAGCACATCAGAGTTCTTGGCCTCGCGGCTCAGTGCCTGCTGCTCCCGCATCTTCTGGGACTTGGCGCGGTCCCAGTCGGTCTTGACATGCTCGTTGTTCCACACAACTGACGTCTCCGTGTCACTCACGTAACCATCGTCCCCTGTGTAGTGCGTGGGGTAGACGAGCAGCGGCTCCACTGAGAAGGCACGGAGATTGCGGGGGGAGAAGTGGGCCTTGTACTCGGACCTGCGGGGGAGAGGAGGGACAAACGGAGGCAGAAGTGGGCACAGGGAGCAAGGGTATATTGGAGGGAGCAGTAGACAGAGGAGGGATAGATGGATGGAGCAGAGGCAGAGGAGGGACAGACGGAGGGAGCAGGGACAGAGGAGGGACAGATGGAACAGAGAACAGAGGGAGGGACAGACGGAGGGAGCAGAGGACAGAGGGAAGGAGGATACTCCCTGGGGCCCCTAAGCCTGATCCACTACCTCCCCACCAGTGAGCCTGCTCTCCCACCCACCCGTCTGCCCACCCACTCACACTGGGTGCTTGTCAAACATGACAGGCAGAAACTCATCCACAGGCAGCATCTTGTTGAGTGGCCTGGCAGACAGCAGCTTGTGGGCGCCTTGCAGGGACAGCACGTAAGCCAGTGTCCAGTAAGAGTAGTCAGCCTCCACCAGGTTCCTCACATGGGGCACAGCCTTCTCAGGGTGCTCCACCTGCATGCGCTTTCGGCCCACGTAGCTGGCGCACAGATAAGAGTGTTACTCAGCTGCACCACAGCCCTCCTCTGCAGCCCCACCCCAAGAGAGCACTGTCAAGGCCTGGGGTGGGGGCAGGCCTGGTGGGTGTGGGGTGCAAGGAGGATGGAGGGCAAGGAGGCTGCAGGGCCAAACCCCATGGCGCCTGGAGGTCCAGGGTGGAAAACATGCTTTTGTCTGAGGGTACCTTGACCACACCCCTACACCAGCCCCTACTAGAGTCCTGGCCACACCCCCAAGCCCCAGTACCACTCAGTCCCAGGTCCACCGTACCTCTCAGGCCCCCCTACTCACATGAGGTCCCAGTCCAGGCCCTCCCGCTCCACATCCCGCATGAGGTTCATCAGGCGCCTCTTGAAGAAGATCTCGAAGCGCAGATCATCCTCAAACACCAGTGACTTCTGCAGTCCCCGGTCCACTACCTGAGGGGGATGCCACGCCCATGTCACAGGGAGACCAAGGCTGAGCCCGGCCCTGGAGGCATCGGCTCAGGAGAGAAGCAAACGTATACCCTTCCTCCCCTCCTCCTCGCTGCTCCTCCCACCCACCCAGGTGGCTCCCACCTCAGGGCTTTTGCTTATGCTGTGCCTTTCACCCAGAGCACCTTCCCCCAGAAAGCAGCAGGGCCAGTTCCCCCTCACCTTTCATGTCTCAATTCAAATGTCACCTACCCAGGAGGCCCAAAGCCACCTCACTGAGGACAATTCACAGTCTTGTCCCGTGGGCATACACTTATTTCTTCATTATTTATCTCTTTGTGGTTTATAACATTAGTCTCCCACCTCCCTAGGCTGTGAGCCCCTGAGGAGGGCCAGGCCTGTCTTGGAAGCTGCTACATCCCCAGTATCAGCTCAGGGCACATTGGAGATGCTTGGCAGATACTCCTTGAATGAATGAGCCTGACAATCCCCTGAACTCATGACTCGGTCATTTGGGAAAACTGAGGCTCATCTCAGGCTGTGAAGCACCTTCCTTGCTCATAGAGCTCACCCCACTCATCCTGTACCCTCTCCAGCCTCAGCTTTCACATTTGCACAATGGAAGGACAGCAGCCACTCCACCCAGGGGTGCTGGAGGCCAAAATGAGACAGTTCAGGTGAAGCAATCGCTAAGGAGGGGCCATGATTGTTTTTGCTGTGTAAAGCCAGCGTGGGCTATGGGCAGCTCCCTCCTTGACCCTCTGTTCCCTCCCAAAATCCATAAGGAGCCCCAGCCCAGCCCTCTCACTGGCATCCACCTCCTTCCAGATGGAGTAGTGGCTGAGGAAGCAGCCCAGCTCGCCCTTGGTGAGGGGCCGCCCGTGGTAGGGATCCCGGTATCCTGGTAACATTTGAATGCCCAGCGCCTCCACCTGGCTGGTGTTCATGGCTCTGCAAGGAAGGAGGGGAGTCACACAGGAGACCAACTCTGCCTGCAAGTCCACCACCAGCACTCCCCCGCAGCTGAGCACTCTGCCTTACTCTTCCACAGTCAGCCCCCCTCCTGGACACCATGGGTCCAGCCTTCCAGGGTATGGTGGCTTAGACCTGTGTCTGGACTTGACACCCCACCCAGGGTTGGAACTCACTTGCCGTCCACCACCTCCATCAGTGTGGTCTACACCAGTGTCTGGCCCTGCCTCTGCCCCTCCCCTACAAGTCAAGACTCACTTGCAGTCTACAGCCTCTACCAGCATGGTCTACATGCGTGTCCTCACTCTCCCCCAGCCCCTCCCCGGGGATCAGGACTCACTTGCTGCTTAGGGCCTCCACCGATACGGTCTACACCCACACCCTCCTTCCCCCAGGGTTGGGACTCACTTGCCGTCTGTGGCCTCCACCAGCCGGCAGGCGATTCCCTGCAGCCGCAGTGCCCGCAGCATGCGCTCACGCCGGTCCTGCCGCCGCTTCAGGTTGATCATGAAGACCTGCAGCCGGAGCCTCCAGTTGGACCACAGAGCCCAGGCCCCACCCCACCCTCAGGGAGGCCCCACCCACCTCATCAAAGCCCATCTTGTCAGGTGTCTGGTCCGGCACCGAGATAAACTGGGATGGCTCAGCCGGCAGGTGCTTCACTGCGGGGAGAGAGAGGCTACGGGGTCACAGGGACCCCAGATCACAGGAGGGGGCAGTTGCTGGTGCTCCTTCCAGGAGGACTGGGCGGATCACTGGGTTCCTGAGTCACAGGGGTGGGGACGAAGGCCTCCAGCCTCTTCCCAACACCCCGTTCCCACCCCCTCCATGGCTTCCTATTACCCAGAGCCCCGCAGCCTGGCATTCGAGGCCTTGCCCTACCAGGCCCCATCTATAGTGTCCCACCTACAATGTCAGAGCTCGTCTCTCTCTACACCACCTCCCCCTGACCAGTCTCTCCAGCTGTTTCATGGCCCCCAACTCACCCCCTCCCACCTCCCAACCTCTGCACAGGCTGGGCTTCTGCCTGGGACACCCCGCCCTCCCCCTCCTTAGCCATCAGTTCTCCGCTACCATGCATTCTCCCTGGGGACCCCTGACCTCTCCAGGCTTGGTCAGGGCCTCCTCTGGACCCTGACAGCACCTGGGCTTCAGCCATCAAAGCCCTGGTACTGCTGTGCTAATGCCCTAGCCATGTGCCTGTCTCCCTGTGAGCCCATGGGGCCAGGCACTGGTCTGCCTGTTTACACGGGGTCCTAAAGCATGGGGCTGGTACACAGCAGGCACTCAATAACTACTCCTGGAAGGAACAAGTGAATGGTCACAAGCTGTGTGCCCTTGACTTGTCCAGGCCTCAGCTTTCCTCACCTATAAAATGGGGACCATAAATTTCGCAGAAGTTTCATGAGAAAGGCAAGGAGATCACACACATCAAAGAGGTTTTTAAAAGTAATCAGGACCTACAACTTAACAACAAAAATATAAACAATCTAATCAAAAAATGGGCAGAGGACTCGAACAGGCATTTCACCAAAGAGGATATTCAACTGGCCAACAAGCACACGGGAGGATGCTCAGTGTCATCAGCCATTAGGGAGATGCCAATCAAAGCCACAACGAGATAGCACCTTACCCCATCAGAATGGTAATCAAAAAAAAAAAAAAAAGGAAAACAACAGGTGTTGGTGAGGCGGTAGAGAAACTGGAACCCTCATCCATTGCTGGTAGGAATGTAAAATGGTGAAGCCACTGTGGGAAACAGTTTGGCAGTTCCTCAGAAAGTTGAACACAGAATTACCATATGAGCCAGCCATCCCAATCCTAGGTATCTACCCAGGAGAAGTGAAGGCAGGAACGCAAACAGAAACCTGTGCACCAATGTTCATTGCAGCACTTTTCACAAAAGCTGGAAACAACGCAATGTCCACCAACACATGAACGGATAAACACAATGGGGTTCATCCATACAATGGAAGAGCACTCAGCCATAAAGAGAACGAAGTCCTGATGCACACCGCACATGGACGAACCCTGAAAACATCATGCTAAGTGAAATAAGTCAGTCACAAAAGGACAAATACCGTATGGCCTCACTTACGTGAGATTAGCAAACATACAGAAACCAAAGACGGTTAGTGGTTACCAGGGGTGGGAGGGACGGGATGGGGTCAGTTTTTGCTTAGGGGGCAGTGACTTTACGTTAATGGTGGTGGAACGATTTGGAAAAGGATAGCGAGAACAACTGCCCAACTTGAAGAATGTAAACAATGTCACTGAATTGTACATGAGGACAAAAGTAATCACAACCCCTTCACACCCACCAGGACAGCTGTGATAAAAACTAAGAAAAAATGGAAAATAATAAGTGGTGGCGAGAAGGCAAGAGACTGGAGCCCTCATCCACTGGTAAGGGCTCATACGGCAAGGTGGGGCTGGTTCACAGCGGCTTAGACCTGAGTTTCAGCACAGAAATAGGGATGGCTGATTTTGGGTAGAGATCCGGCATGAGACAGAATGGCAAGATAAGGGGTGTATATAAAAAGCTGCTGTATTCTGATATATGAAAATGAGAAAACTTGACAACAAGCAAATATGGGAGTGTGTGTCTGTCTGTCTGTCTAGGTATGTGTTGTTAGTCGACTCCAACTCATGGCAACCCCAAGTGTGCAGAGTAGAACTGCTCCATAGGGTTTTCAAGGCTGTGGCCTTTCAGAAGCAGATCGCTAGGCCTGTCTTCCAAGGTGCCTGTAGGTAGGGTCAAATCGCCAACCTTTCAGCCAATAGTCAAGTACTTAACTGCTTGCAACACCCAGGGATTCCTGTCGAGGTCTGACACATACCAAACTGTTGGAGAGAAACCAGGAGAGCCTTTCTCTTTTGATCCCACACACTTTTAACAAGTATATTTTCTCCTCCAATAAAAAGAGGCAGAAGAACAACTAGACGGTGCCCAGCTACCACCAATGACACAACAAAGAGTCCCTGATGGAGCAGGAGAAAAGTGGGGTGCAGAACTCAAGTTCTAGTAAAAAGATCAGACTTAATGGTTTGATTGAGACCAGAGGGAACCCGGAAGACGTGGCCCCCAGACTCTCTGTCAACCTGGAACTAAAACCATTCCTGAGGCCAACTCTTCAGACAAAGATTAGACTGGACTATGGGATATAAAATGATACTCGTGAAGAGTGTGCTTCTTAGCTCAAGTAAATACATGAGACTAAATGGGCAGCTCCTGTCCGGAAGTGAGATGAGAAGGCAGAGAGGGTCAGGAGCTGGTTGAATGGACACAGGAAATCCAGGGTAGAAAGGAAGAGTGTGCTGTCACAGTAAAGGGACAGCAATTAAGATCACCTAACAATGTATGTACAAATTTTGGTATAAGAGACTAACTTGAATTGTAAACTTTCACTTATAGCAAAATTTAAAAAAAAAAAAAAAAGACAGAAATGTTTCTTAAAGGCATCAAATATTACGTAAAGGCCCAGAACACACAGAAAATTTACATGTGGAAGAAACTCTTATTTTGGACGTACGTTTTAATTAGAAAAAAGACAAGCTTGATGAACCCTGAACACATTACCAAACCAATTGTCACTGAACTGATTCTGACTCACAGTGACCCCATGTGTGTCAGAGTAGAACCGGGCTCCATAGGGTTTTCAGTGGCTGATTTTTCTGAAGTAGATTGCCAGGCCTTCCTTCCAAGGCACCACTGGGTGGACCTGAGTCTCCGACTTTTTGCTTTGCACCACCCAGGGACTGTTTTAACGCTTGTAAAGACCCAAAAATATCAGGGTGCCATTCCATGTCCGGCTACCAAGGGGAGTCATAGACAGAACCTTCTAGAAGCAGGTGTTGTTGTTAGTTGCCAGCGAGTGCATTCCGACTCATGGTGACCTCATGTGTGCAGAGCAGAACTGCTCCATAGGGTTTTCAAGACTGCAGCTTTTCGGAAGTCACTTGCCAGGCCTCTCTTCCTAGTCTTAGTCTAGAAGCTCTGCTGAAATCTGTTTCACATCCTAGCCACATGCAAGCCTCCACTGACAGATAGGTAGTTGTTGTACATGAGGTACATTGGCTGGGAATCAAACCTGGGTCTCCCAGGTGGGAGGCGAGAATTCCACCACTGAACCACCACTGCCCCATACATCTGCCTATTCTAGGTATTTATATAACCCCTCATTTTCTTTTAAAAGCTCACAATTCTCTGATTGAGTCAGCGGCAGCTCAGACTGAGTTCAAGTCTCTCTCTCTCTCTCTCCCCCCACTGTTGTGGTCCCCTACCCCTACAACAGTGTCCTCCCATCCCGTATCCCTTCTCCTCCCTTACTACCTTGTTGTCAGTTGCCGAGAAGTTAACTCCGACTAATGGTGACCCCCTGTGTGCAGAGTAGAACTGCTCTATAGGATTGTCAATGGATGTGATCTTTTGGAAAGAGACTGCCAGGTCTTTCTTCCAAGGTGCCTCTGGGTGAGTTTGAACCACCAACCTTTCAGTTAGTAGCTGAGGGCTTAACTGTTTGTGCCACCCAGGCCTCCTACTCCCTTACTATAATTCTTTTGAATTATAAATTTTTGAATAAAATTGGTTTAAAATTAACCAATTGCTGTCGAGTTGACTCAGACTCAAGGCAACCCCATGTATGTCATGGTTTTCGGTGGCTGAATTTTAGGAAGTAGATCACCAGGACTTTCTTCTGAGGCACCTCTGTGTGGACTCAAACCTCTAATCTTTCAGTTAGGAGCTGAGTGCATTCATCGTTTGCACCACCTAGAGACTCCGTTTTAACACTGACCAGTACAAATTTCTCTTTGATCGACTTAGTCAGTGTGCATGGGGTGGTACAGGATGGAAGAGGGGGTGGATTGCCTGGACTCACCCATGACCTCCAGCTGTACGTGCATGAAGCTCTCGGCCTCGTCCTGGAGCGTGCTGTGTGCCCGCAGCGGTACCGGCAGGAAGCCGTATACCTCCTTGTTACAGACATACATTTGCACCTCTGGGGCCGAGAAAACAATAAGCAAAAATTAGAACAAAGAGACAGCCAGAGACCAAGGAGGCAGCAGGGGCAGGGATGGAATCATAGTCTAGCAAAGGGCAGGGGGCAGGGGTCTGGTGGTGCCCATCAGCTGGCAGAGACCCCTCAGCGTACTACCAGGGATTGTGACCAGAACAGAGCTTCACATGCAAGTGGACAGCCAGGCACGCCGGATGCTACCCATTGTCCGTCCATTCAGAGGGTGAGAAACCAGAAACATCTGAAATGCCACTGGAAAACTCCAGAGCCAATGTTGAAATGACATATGTTTTGTTATGCACATATTTACCACAATAAAAAAAATATTAAAAAAAAAAAAAAAATCCCACAGGCGGAGTGTGTCATTCCATCTCCCACCAACAGGGGGAGCCACAGACAGAAACGTCTAGAGGCAGGTAAGGTGGGGAGGGTGTGGGACAGGACTGAGCATCAGGCTAACCCCTGGTTTAGAATAAATGTCAAGTCAGCATATCTTTAATGTCTTTAAAACACTCTTTTCCTGATTATACAATAAATACATGCTCAACTACACAAAACCTGGAGAATACACACAAGTATGGATTTGAAGTTAACTTTCAATCAACGAAGAAAGTTTTCATGGAGTTGATTTGGACTCACAGTGACTCCACACGTTACAGAATAGAACTGCCCCACAGGGTTTTCTTGGCTACAATCTTTATGGAAGCAGAGCGCTAGGCCTTTCTTCCACGGTGCCACCGGGTGTGTTTGAACTGCCAACCTTTATGTTAGTAGTCGAGCCAAACCATTTGCTCCATCCAGGGTCCTTAACCTTCAATAAAGGGGTCTTAAAGAGCTGGAAAGTAAAGCCAACCCACAAAGGCAGGGCTAGAGACAGCCTGGGTCCGGGTGACATCATCTGAACACCTGGATACAGCCATGCCTGAAGGCACTGCTGTACCCCACACTTTTGGTTCTGTTAGCCTTCTGTGAGCTGTCTGGACTTGCTCCACGAGGACCCCAGGGAACCAGCCAGATGCCCCTACCCCATCTGCTCACCTGCCTGCTTGCAGGAGAAGGCGAAGACGATGATGTCATCAAAGGACCAGGTGTAGTCCGGATGGGGCGGGTAAAAGGCCAGGCTCCTGGAGGCTACCTTCCGCAGGTCGATCAGGAAGGTCGAGTGCACCATGGGCACCGGGAAGCAGCCCTGGCGGTCCCGTTTGCGGATAGGGATGTAGGCGGGCGTGCGCTTGTAGTAGCCCTAGGGGGATGGAGGTAGAGTCCTGAGTGGGCGTCCCCGGAGGGGAGGCTAGAATCTGGGAAGTAAGACCTATGGAACAGCCCAGAAAGACAGACCCGGCTCCAGGAAGGGTCAGGCCTGGTCTCTTCCCCCAGAGCCTCAGTCAGCAGGGCAATCACAGAAAAAGGGAAATGGTCACCAATCTGCAGCCCCGGCTGTTATGGATTGAATTGTGTCCCCCAAAATACCTGTTGGAATCCTAACCCCTATACCTGTGGAGGAGTCCCCGGGTGGTGCAAACGGTTAAGCAATTGGCTACTAGCCAAAAGGCTGGCGGTTCAAACACACCCAGAGGCGCCTTGGGAGACAGGCCTGGTGATCTGCTTTCAAAAGGTCACAGCCTTCAAAATCCTATGGAGCAGTTCTACTCTGCACACATCGGGTCACCATGAGTTGGAATCGACCCGACGGCAACTAAACAGTAACAACATATCTGTGGGTGTGATCCTATTTAGGAATAGGGTTTACTCTGTTAATGAGGCCATATCAGTGCAGGGTGTGTTTTAAGTCAATCACTTTTGAATTATAAAGAGCAGACTGGGCACAGAAGAAGGCAGACCCGGGGGCAGACCAACGCCAAGTGAAGATACATCTCCAAGCAGCCAAAGAACGCCAAGAGACGCCCAGGGGTACAGAAGCAGAAAAAGACAAAGATCCTCCCCCAGAGCTGACAGAGAAAGAGAGAGAAAGCATGGTCCTGCTGAGGCCCTGAATTCAGACTCCCACCCTCCAAAACTGTGAAAATGAATTTCTGTTTTCAAAGCCACCCATGTGTGGTATTTTGCTAAGGCGGCCCCAGGAGACTAACACGCCAGGACGATTACAAACTTGTCCTTACAGGGCTGTGTAAGGACTGCTGTTGTCAGCTGCCATCTAGTCGGCCCCCAACTCAGGGCGACCTCAAGCACAACAGAGCGAAAGGCTGCCGGGTTCTGCATCATCCCCATGATTGGTTACAGATGGGACTGTTGTGATCCATAGGGTTTTCACTGGCTGACATTCAGAAGTAGATTTCCAGGCCTTTCTTCCTAGTCTCTTATCTGGAAGCTCTGCTGAAACCTGCTCAGCATCCTAGCAACATGCAAGCCTCCACTGACAGACGGGTGGTGGCTGTGCATGAGGTGCACTGGACAGGAATCGAACCCAGGTCTCCTGCATGGAAGGTGAGAATTCTACCAGTGAGTCACTATTGCCTCATGGTTGAGGCGACGGTGTTTGTGAACTGCTCACCGCGAGGTGGTGTGCTAATTTGTGAGACTCCAGCCACGGCCCCCAGCCCCCCTCCCTGACCCAACAGCCCCCTTACCTGGGAAGTCATGCCACACCAGAAGTTGGAGTACGCAGCCCGTGAGTCCAGCATGGGGGCCACCACCGTCTTGTTCTCAGCCATGAGTAGTGTCAGCATGTCAGGGTTGAGGATGAGGTTATCTGCGTCCACAAACTGCAAAACAACCAACACGGCATCAGTGTGGGCTGCCAGTGTGACCCCGGGGTCGGGCCGCAACTCGAAATGGCTCAGGCAAAGGCCAGGCCTCCGGGGGGTTGGGGGTTGCTGGACAACCTGGAGAAGCAGATGTGACCTGGGAGCCCCTGGTCCTCACCAAGTGCAGTGCATCTCTGCCCGTAATAACAAGCTGTGTTATTACATTCACACTACAGGCAAAAAGCACAAACCACAACCGCACACACCTACATAAACGAGAGAATCTGTTGTTGTTGGCCGTCACGAGTGGGCCCCCAGACACCGGGCAACCCAATGCACAATGGAAAAAAATGGTCTTGCATTATCTCGATGACTGATTATGGGTAAGACCATTGTGATCCACAGGATTTTCATTGGCTGCATTTTGGAAGTCGATCACCAGGCCTTTCTTCCCAGTCTGTCTTAGTCTGGAAGCTCCGATGAAACATGTTCAGTGTCACAGCAACACGTAAGCCTCCACTGATAGACAGGTAGTGGCCATGAATGAGGTGCACTGGCCAGGAATTGAACCTGGGTCTCCTGCACAGAAGGCAAGAACCCTACCACTGAACTGCCACGGCCCCTAGCAACACAAATGAACTGCACAGGCCTAACACTGATAAGACATGCTGGACACAGAAGCAAATGCAGCATGTGACTCCACTTATGTGACATTTGAAAACAGGCAGCCAACAACCCACTGACTGGGAGACAAGATGTGGGAACCAAATATCTGATAAGGGTTTAGTATACAGAATATATAAAAAGCTCCTACAACTCAACAAGAAAAAGACAAACAATGCAATCAAAAACCGGGCAGAGGGCTTGAATAGATATTTCCCCAAAGAAGATCTGCAAATGGCCAACAAGCACATGAAAAGATGCTCGTCATCATTAGTCATTAGGGAGCTGCAAATCAAAATCACAATGAGACACCACATCTACTAGGATGACTAGGATCAGAAAAACAGAAAATCACAGGTATTGGCAAGAATGTGGATGCAGTGAAACCCTCGCGTATTGCTGGTGAGAATATAAAATGGTATAACTGTTGTCAAAACAAGTGTGGTAGTTCCTCAAAAAGTTAAACATAGAATTACCATATGACCCAAGAGATTTGAAAGCAGAAGCTGAGACAGATACGTGTCTACCAATGTTCACTGCAGTACTATTCACAACAGCCAAAAGGGGGAAACAACCCAAGTGTCCATGAGCAGATGACGGATAAACAATGCGGCCCATCCACACAGTAGAATATTACTCAGTACAAAATGGAACGAAGCACCAGCTACCACCAATGACCACCCTGACAGGCAACACAACCGAGAGCAGGAGAAAAGTAGGGTGCAAAACTCAAATTCTTAATGGTTTGATTGAGACTGGAGGGACCCCGGACACATGGCTCCTGGACTCTCTGTTAGCACAAAACTAAAACCATTCCCGAGGCCAACTTTTCAGACAAAGATTAGACTGGACTATGGGACATAAAATGATACTCATGAAGACTGTGCTTCTTAGCTCAAGTAGATACATGAGACTAAATGGGCAGCTCCTGTCCAGAGGCGAGATGAGAAGGCAGAGAGGGTCAGGAGCTGGTTGAATGGACACAGGAAATCCGGGGTGGAAAGGAGGTGTGTGCTGTCACAGTATAGGGAGAGCAACGAGGGTCATGTAACAATGTGTGTATAAATTTTTGTATGAGAGACTAACTTGAATTGTAAACTTTCACTTAAAGCACAATTAAAAAAACAAAAAATGAAGCACTGAGACAGACTATAACATGGATGAGCCTTGAAAACATTATGCTGAGTGAAATCAGTCAGTCACAAAAGGACAAATACTGTATGATCTCACTTACATGAAATATCTAGAATAAACAAACCCACAGAGACTAAATGAAGTATATTAGAGGTTACGCGGGGCAGAGGAGTGGGAAAGGGGAAGTTATTGCTGAAGGGGACAGAGTTTCTGCTAAGCGTGATGAAAAACTTTTGGAAATAGTGATGATGGTTGCACAACATGGTGAATGTAATTAATGTCGCTGAATTGTACACTTAAAAATGGTGAAAATGGCAAACTTTTTAATTGTACTTTAGATGAAGGTTTACAGAACAAATAGTTTCTCATTAAATAGTTAGTACACATATTATTTTATGACAATGGTTAACAACCCCACAACGTGTCAACACTGTCCCTTCTCAACCTTGGGTTCCCTATTACCAGCTTTCCTGTCCTCTCCTGCTTTCTAGTCCTGGTCCCTGGACTGTTGTGCCCCATTAGTCTCATTTTGTTTTATGGGGTTGTCTAATCTTTGGCTGAAGGGTGAACCTCGGAAGTGACTTGATTACTGAGCTAAGAGAGTGTTTGGGGGCCATACTCTCAGGGTTTCTCCAGTCTCTGTCAGGCCAGTAAGTCTGGTCTTTTTTTGTGAGTTAGAATTTTGTTCTACGTTTTTCTCCGGCTCCGTCCAGGATCCTCTGTTGTGATCCCGGTCAGAGCAGTCAGTGGTTGTAGCCGGGTACCATCTAGTTGT